AATGTTTTTAACCTTTTTTATAAACTCTATTGAATTTTTTATGGTGTAAATGTTATTGTCTAATAGAGTTGAAAATCTAGAAACTTAATATTTAGCTAATGGATATAAGGCAGTACCTAAATTTGAAACAATAGTGCGGAAAGGAATACCACTTTTATGAATTTTGGGAAGAGCACAATCCGCAACAGACGGGATAAGCGAATGTTTTAAGTTGCTTGAAATGATTTGCGAAGATTTGATCGCAGTTTTATTTTTGGCAAGTCCGAAGGTGAAGGATCTTTAGGGATCGGATTATATGGTCCTTCGTTTAAGAGTTTAATGAGACCATCGATGTAAGTGTTCTTATCCATGACGACTATCTGGCCACCTTTGTCGGCCTTTGAAATGATAATATCCGGGTTAGAATGAATTTCGATCATTGTAGCTCTTTCTCTCGCAGTTAAATTTGGTTTCAAAGGTTCATTATTGAATTTCACATTATGAGCGATAAGATGCCTAATCATTTCTTTCTGTGAATCTGAAACTTTACTGAACTTAAAAGCTTTTTCGATAGGAGCCAAAATCTTTGGAATTGAGGTTTGACAGGTTTGTGAGAAGTTAAAATTATATTTTAGAATTCTCTCTTGTTCTTCTGAAAGACTAACATTAGAAATATTAACTATTGGCTTGATGTTTACAATGGGAAGATTTTTTGAACTACTTGAACTGGAAGACTGTAAAAGAAGTTTTTCGAATCTAACTGCAAGGGTGTTTTTATGACGGTTAACTGCATTCTCCATTCTAGACCAAGACTTTTGTTCAAGGGCAGTGAATTTTGGATATGATTTAGCGAGCTCCAAATGAAGCATATAGAGTTCATGTTCAATTTTGGACAATTGTTGACGTGTATCTCTTATGACAGACCGAAGTAAGGCAAGCTTGCAATTTAACAGAATTCTTGAAACGCGACTCGAAGTCTCCATTGGAGAACTGGATTTTCTCGAGACATTTCACATTCAAGAAAATCTTTCTGTTCTAGTTACTGATCCTAATTCCAATCCATGTTTGCCTTTAAAGAAATTATGTTTTAGTTCTGGTTTCACCAACAGATGGTGCCACTTGCTTATTCTTGTCCAGGCTTTCTTATCTTATCTAATCATTATTTCCTATCTTGTTCATTTGCGGTTTTGCAGCTGAGGATGGTGGTTCTGTAAAACCATCGAAACTAGTCCTGTGAAAATTTTGTAGACATAACGCTGATTTTTGTTGTTTGACTTCTGAATTAGTATTTATTCGGCGTATAATTGTGTCTTAATTATAGAAGCCCCAAACAGGCTTATTTTTTACACGTGGTGTGGCCGCCATTTTGTGATTGCATGAGTTTCGGTAAGTACTATTTTTCAATTTTCAAGTTATGTTTATGTTTTGTATATTTGTATATTGTGCTTTGCTTGTCTGATTTCATGCATTTTGCTTACAAACGTTTTGTTTTCTATTCATTTCAGTGAGGGACTTTTCTGCTGTTTTGTGTGTGCTTTATTATTACTTAGTTAATTTAGTTTGATTTTCTGCATTGTTTATCATGCCTTCATCCGTTAATCGTTTCACTAAATTAAGCCTGAAATGGCAAAAATTCCTGAATCATCTTGACTTTTTACTTAAATGTAAATGTAAAAAATTGATCCCAATAATATTCAAATCAAATCTAATCAAAAACCTTCAAGTCGCGTTTCAAGAATTCTGTTAAATTGCAAGTTCCAAAATTGAACATGAACTCTATAAGCCTCATTTGGAACTCACTAAATCATATCCAAAATTCACTGCCCTTGAACAAAAGTCTTGGTCTAGAATGGAGAATGCAGTTAACTGTCATAAAAACACCCTTGCAGTTAAATTCGAAAAACTTCTTTTACAGTCTTCCAGTTCAAGTAGTTCAAAAAATCTTCCCATTGTAAACATCAAGCCAATAGTTAATATTTCTAATGTTAGTCTTTTAAAAGAACAAGAGAGAATTCTAAAATATAATTTTAACTTCTCACAAACCTGTCAAACCTCAATTCCAAAGATTTTGGCTCCTATCGAAAAAGCTTTCAAGTTCAGTAAAGTTTCAGATTCACAGAAAGAAATGATTAGGCATCTTATCGCTCATAATGTGAAATTCAATAATGAACATTTGAAACCAAATTTAACTGCGAGAGAAAGAGCTACAATGATCGAAATTCATTCTAACCCGGATATTATCATTTCAAAGGCCGACAAAGGTGGCCAGATAGTCGTCATGGATAAGAACACTTACATCGATGGTGTCACTAAACTCTTAAACGAAGGACCATATAATCCGATCCCTAAAGATCCTTCACCTTCGGACTTGTCAAAAATAAAAACTGCGATCAAATCTTCGCAAATCATTTCAAGCAACTTAAAACATTCGCTTATCCCGTCTGTTGCGGATTGTGCTCTTCCCAAAATTCATAAAAGTGGTATTCCTTTCCGCACTATTGTTTCAAATTTAGGTACTGCCTTATATCCATTAGCTAAATATTAAGTTTCTAGATTTTCAACTCTATTAGACAATAACATTTACACCATAAAAAATTCAATAGAGTTTATAAAAAAGGTTAAAAACATTTCTCCTAGTAATTTACTTATGGTTTCTTTTGATGTAAAATCATTATTCACCAATGTCCCAGTGGAGAGTGCATTAAGATGTCTAGAAACCAGACTTCGCGAATTTCATTTCTCTTGCATTGAAATTGATGAGCTGATTTCTCTCACTCAACTCTGTTTGAAACAAACACATTTTGTTTTCCAAAATAAATATTACAAGCAAACTGAGGGATTAGTTATGGGAAGCCCCCTCAGTCCTATCCTGGCTGATATCTACATGCATTATTATGAATCAAAAATGTTTGAAGCTTTAAACTTCCCAGCATGGTTCCGCTACGTAGACGATACTTTTACCCTGTTTGAAGGTAATAAAGATGATTTAAATAAAGTTCTTTCAACAATGAATTTTATTGATCCTGCTATTCAGTTCACTTTTGAGCTTGAGACTTGCAATTATCTTCCGTTTCTCGACATTCTGGTCACACGTAACACATCCAACTTCAGTACTACGGTTTACTGTAAACCTTCATCGGTTTGCCTTCCACCACACTTTAAATCATGTCATCCGACTAAACAAAAGTTAGCTTCATTTTATTCCTATGTTTTCCGTGCTCTTCAAGTTTGCTCCTCCAAACTAGCCCTTGATGAAGAACTAAATTATTTAAAAGCAATAGCTATTGACAGGGGCTTTTCAAACAACATTATTAATCAAGCAGTTAAAAAATTCTCATCTCAACACACTAAAAGGCACACTCTTGTTTTAGGAGATTATAAAAATTCTGTTGTCATTCCCTTCTTTCCATCAGTAAGCTATAAAGTTGCACATATTTTGCAGAAATTTAACTTTCGGGTTTGTTTATTCTCCCATCAATAAAATTCCGAGTTCCATACTCAAGGACCCCATTCTGGATATGAATTCCTGGGGTATTTATAGGATTCCTTGCCAGTGTGGTTTAATTTACATTGGCCAAAGTAAGAGAGCCTTAAAATTTTGCGTCAAGGAACATACGTCAAGGAGAAAAAAGGAAAACACTGAAGTCTTCTGTTGGCTCAACATTGTTGGTCCGAAAATCACTTTTTTTCAATTTTTCTGCTGCCAAAATAATTCAAAAAACATCTTCCATTGCAGAACTGGATTTTCTAGAGGCATTTCACATTCATAAAAATCTTTCTGTTCTAGTTAACGATCCTAATTCCAATCCAAATTTGCCTTCAGCCTTTAAAGAAATTATAATTCAGCCTTAGTTCTGGTTTCACCAACAGATGGCGCCACTTGCTTATTCTTGTCCAGGCTTTCTTATCTTATCTAATCATTATTTCCTATCTTGTTCATTTGCGGTTTTGTAGCTGAGGATGTTGGTTGGTAAAACCATCGAAACTAGTCCTGTGAAAATTTTGTAAACATAATGCAGATTTTTGTTGTTTGACTTGTTTGAATTAGTATTGAAAGAAATGTTTAGTAACGTAAACAAATAAATATTAAGCTTTTTTTTTTTTTTTTTTTTTTTTTTTTTTGGTTAATTTTGATACTCTTTAGATCATAATTGCTTTTTATTTCATAAATTACAGTTTCCTAATTTTAATTTTATAATTTCTGCATGCCATCTCACCAGATTTAAATTGATGATCTGTAATCCGGAAAAACTCCTAATCCAGAATCCGCGAAGTGCCGACGAGTCCGGATTAAAGACTTTGTATTGTATTATGTCAACTTTTCGTCTTAAGACTGTAAAGAGAAGAACCTTGATATTTAACAATATTAAACTGAATCATCTTATTTATTGCACTCAGGAATAAAGGGTAATATGAAATTATATTGTCCTCCACGGGACACTTGTTGTGTAGTGCCTAATGTCAAAGCACATAATAAATTAAAACAAAATAATAAATTGTTTCAAAAATAATTTTTTGCTATGGATTTTGTTTGAAATCTGTGTAACTTTACTAAGTTTAAAATAACATTCTCGAATTAATTAGAATACATTAAAATATAATCCAAATTGTATTTTCTAAACTTTTAAACTTTGCGACTACAGTGCATCTGAATACAACTTGCGACCCACGTGCATATAATTATGTTGAGAAAAAAGATGATTCCCAGAAGAGGACAGCGTAGTTAAAAGAATAATAGATAAACATATAACTATTAATTAAAAATTTAATTTTTTCAATTTATTCATATTAAATTAAGTGTTAAATATATACAACTGTATGATGAGAAAAAGAATACTTAAAAGGTTTTTGTGATTCACACCTTGGAAACTATTAGTTTAGGCTGTTTAAAAGTTACTTATGTTGAAAAACTAAATGAAATTAAAATATGTTAATGCAATATTTTCTTTTTAGCTCTTGGAATATATTATACATAATGCTGAAAATGAAAATGCAACATATATATTTGAGTTTATATTTAGGTTCCATGTCAGTACTTCTGCATTTACTAAACAACTGCCTACTGTAATCTTGTTCAGAAATGGAAAAGAAGTAAATCGTAGGCCTACTGTTGATGCAAAATATCAACTTATAAAATTTTTCTTCTCTGAGGTAATTTTTTAAAAATTTTATTTGTGATTATACTCATATTTATATATAAATTGCTGAGTGCAATCCTTATGTCAAACTCACAGAGCTTTGCCACTTCAGTTATCATCATAACAATAACTACAACACATCTTTGTTTTTCCTACCTGAGTCATGATTGAAATATCCTCTACTTCACTAACGAGAAGCAACCAGCATATTTATCAGTTTGAGTTGCTTTTTATATTTTAATTCTTCTTACCTAATGCATTTTATCTTCTTACCTAATGCATATTTTATTAGAAATATACTAAAAAAAATTGCTTTATACTTCGATACTATGATTCACAGTATGATATTAGCACAACTTACTTTTTAAAACTGCAATTATTAGATATATTTTATTTTATCTGAAAAGAAAAGTAATTCTTTTCAGAAAATGACTTAAAATATCTTAAGTTTGTTTGTAAGTTTGATTCCAACTACAGATGGAGTATAAAATTTACTGAATACAGTTTGTGTTTCCTAAAATTATCATGGTGTGCTGATAAAATAGCAGTTAAAGATGGTATATTGGTATATTTTAATTGTTTACATGACTTTGCCAAGACAGATTTTTCAGAGCAAATTGTTTTTAAAATAAGTTAGTCAAAATTTCAGATTACTTTCAAATTCTTTGAAACATTAGTTTTTAGTTGCTTAAGATGGCAATATATTTTTCTTGACAGTTTTGCCATTGTATGTTTTGAATTTAAATTACAGCTTTTAGCATGAAAAACACAGAGTTTTAAAAATCAGTTGTGCATTTATTTCATTTTAAAATACAAATGTAGATATTTATAATAGATTTGTAAACAGTCATCATCACTGTACTTGCAGCTATGGGGAAGGGCGGGAAAAACTTTTATTTATTTATTTGAAAATTTAAGAATGTGTGTTTAACTTCTTAAATTTGTGGTTTTAACATGCATTGTTTGGACTTTGGTGATATAATTTATTGTTTCTGTAAGTCTTATCACTGATATTGGGTTACTTTATGTTTAGTGCTTTTCTTTGAACTGTCCCTAAATGCACTTAAAAAAATAACACCTGGTTATTACCTTTATTTTTCATACCTTTATTTTATACCTTTATTTTTCATAAACATTTTAAGTCCTTTATTTAGTTGCAAAACCTTAGTTTTAAAATGCCGCATTTATTCTGTTTTGCATGCACTTGGCTAATTTTTGACGTTTTTCAACAGGAATAAACTGCCATATATCTTGCACAATTCTCCATAGTTTCTTAAGATTTCAGATAAATAGATTCATATATATATTGATAAAAGTTGGAAGTTTAAAATTGGAAGACCTTCTTCATTGGGCAAAATGGGCTCAATGCAGATGTTGCAAATATAAATAACATTATTGTTTTGATCATGCTTTGTGACTTTTTAAACTTTATGTATTATTTTTTTAATTATTGTTGAATAATAAAACACATAATTTTGAAGACCCTATCTAAATTTTTGAAACTGTTGAAAACAATTTTAGTGACTGCTTTTGTTCATTATAATTATATTCTGAGAATTTCTAGTTAAACAGTGTTCAAGTGGCTAAAGCTGATAAACAGTAATTTATATTGTTTGATTTCTACATTAATTTATCGTGAATTCTATTCTTCACAGCTCAAACCCCCATTTGCAGTGTAAATAATAGCTAATTTAATATTAGAATGTTCTCCATAAAAGCATATCTTTTCTTAGCAACACATCGTAAAATACTTCCCTTAGTTAAAAACAAACCTGACCTTATTCATTATTATGCAAAACAGCATGGATTTAAAAAAAAAAAATAAAAAAAGAATGAAATTGCTATTAGAACATGTCTAGTCATATTTGGCATATATAAATAAATTTTGCATAAATTCTTAAACATTCTCTACTATATTTTTCGAGTAATTTCAGTGGAAATCATCATGGCTGTGGCATTTGCACAAATTGGAAGGGAAAGGGAATAACTATTTGCATTCATTTCTGAAATTAAATTGTTGTATGATTTGCAAGCACACATACATATGCTTATATTAACTCCACAAATTTAACAGCATTTTAATTTTAATTTCAAGGAAAATGTTACGGCTGCTTTTAACCTGAACAATCTATATGAAGAATGCAAGGCCAATCCTATTAAGAAGCAGAAAAAAGAAGTGGAAACACATGTAAAAGAGGATTAGACATCTGTGGCATTACAGAATTGCACAATTATAGTTATTTGTTACCAAAGATATGCAATTCTTGTATGCATTCTTTTTCATGGATGTTATTTTATGTTTTAGAATTGTTCAGCTAGAAATTTTTTACTGCTATAAGAGTTCTTAGAATTATTCTCCTCTTTTTAAAATTTAAAATATACATAAGAAAATTATGTACATTCTGATTGTAAGTTGAAATCTCTTACATGAACTCTTATTTTCTTTCTTCATGTGCTAAATTCTAAAAATATATTAATAGTATTGTCAAAATGTACAATAAAAAAGAAAAGTAATTTGCAAGAAATTATTGTCTGTAAACATGTTTTGCTGATGCAGAATGTTACTGAAAGTATATTTCAATGCTTTAGCAGTGAATTAAATAATTTCTCCTTATGTTCATTATTAAAACTTTTCTGGAAATACTGTGGCATTTTTTAAAAGGATTCTTAATATTTATTTTGATATATATTTATTTATAATAAAAATATTTTTCCTGATAATTTAAAAGAAATTCTAAGCATGTCGCATTGCTGTAATATGTGTATATTATTTGATTGATGAAATCAAAAAAGTGGAAAACTATAGCATTTCAAGTGGTAAAAATATTTAATTAATTTCAGAGCATATTGAATTTTGTATAATTTTTATTGTGCATAAAATGGATAATAAATAGTTAAAAAATTATCTTATTAAGGGGGAAGTATTGTTTCTAGTGAGAATACTAATTGGTAATTAAAACTGTAATCATAAATACTGTGTTATTGGCTGTTTTAACGTATCAAATATATATATTTTGATAAATGTGATATATTTTCCATTTATTAGAATGATATTATTTTATATTTATTCAGAAATACATAAATTATTGAGAGGTAAAATCTTGGTTTTCTACATTGACCCTTCCTCCCCCTTAAATATCGTGTGTGTTATTTATTTCATTTAAGAAATAGCATTTAGCAACATTCTAACAATAGCTGTTTTTAAAATCTGATAGCTGTTCGTACTGTAAGAATATTAATTTCATTTGATTGCATAACTTACATTTTTTAAAAATTTCTAACTTAAAAAATTCTGAAATTCTGTAATTTGTAAGTTGATTACAAAAAAAAGGAGATACTAGCAGCATTTAGAAAATTTTTAAGCTAAAGAAATTTTAGAAATGCCATTTACAGAGGCTGTTCATACATTTTTTAGACGATGTATATTGTATATTCACAAAACTAAATTACATAAAATTCTTGTGTTTTAAATATTCTATTTGACATCCCTTATTCTGATGTATCTTTCGACACTGCAATTTCCAGGATAATAATGCCTTTTTCTTTCCAGAGAGTCCTGTTAGGGTTTTGGGACAACGTTTCAATAATGCAGTTTTTAAAAGTCCGAATGCACAAAAATCCATAGGTAACACATCGGCAGATTTAGTAGGGATATCAGTGAAGGGTATGGCCATGATACCAGTTTTTTGTTCCATTTCTTTTAGGAAATTTACTGTGGATTTTGATGTGCAACTGTTAGCTTTTGTCCTGATGGAGTCTCACAGATTGATGGCACTGTGGGTAAAGCGATGGTATTTCATTCAGAAACATCGGCGATAAAATATGTTCCTGATAGTATTTGGAGTTAATCTTGACATTTTTTTGCGCTCTCTTTATTTTTAACTTACCATTATATCAAAAACCAGCAACAATCATGAATCCCTTAGAAAAACTTTCTTTCGATTCTTTGAACCATGTACTTAAATTTTTTTCTCCCCTTTTATGATAATAAATGGCTTTTTTTTTTTTTTTTTTTGTTACAATCATTAACTACACCCATGCTTCATCTATTGTGACAATTGTTTTCCATTTTTCTTTGGATAAGTGTTTCTCATATAGAATTCTGCAGCGTGTCCTGCATTGAGCGATATGCTTTGGAAGAAGATGCACATTGCATTTTTTCACTTTCTTAAGATTTAAATCAACGTTTATCATTTTGTTTACAGTGGACACCAAGCATTTTAATGATTTTGCAACTGTCCGTTGACTAGGGGGATTTTCTTTTAACATTAAACAACGTACCTTTGCAATAGTCGAAGATGTCCGTTTTTTCCTTGGATACTTATTTGGAATTATTTTCTCACTTGAGGCTCCAATTTGACGTTTTTTCTTTTCTTGTTGATGATATTACCTATCGACGCTTTAGATATCACAAAACCATGACTCTCACATCGTTTTTGGATAACAAAGTATGCATATTTCTCTTTGGAAAGAGCATAAATGTAGCCTTCGAGCCACTGCTTTGTTAAATTCGCCATTTTGAATAATAAAAACAAAACTTTCAAGCCACAAACAATAATTTTGACTTTTAAAAACATAGTACAATTGCAGTTACTTCTTTTGAAGCAAATGATTTTTTATTACCGCTTACCAAAATCGTCTAAAAAATGTGCGAATAGCCTCTGTAAAAAACTGAAAAGTTTCTGTTATCTCTGTTGCCTTATGGCATATTATTTAGAATATTCTAGAACAGTAGTCGGCAAACTCACTAGTCAGAAGAGCTAAAGATCTTGTATAAGATTAAGATTTCCCTTATGAATTTTCCATAGACGAAATAAATCATGCAAAAAAGTGACACAGGCACTTTCATTTATGCCATAAGATTTGTCAGCCATTATTGATAAAGCTTAAACAAATCCATTTAAGATCTTCAGTTTGCTGAATGGTTATACTTGAAGACATTTTGACTGTTTTGTCTTTTGCTTGTTTAAAGGACAGTGGTAACTATATTTGTTTTTTCAAGAATTTCTGCATTGTTCTTAAAATCCCAGAATAGCTCTTCAGAAGCATTTATAAAACAACTTTTAATATTTCACCATCTATATATGATTTGCCTCACTCAGCAGTCTCTTGACTAACAATAAAGCTTGCAGTATTATCATTGTTGGAAGATTGCACCTAATAATTAAATACAGAACTTGATTTTTCTTAACTGTTTTGAAGTTCCTCAACTGCTTTCTTCTTTAAGTCACCTGTGGGTCATATACTGCTGAATGATGCATGTTTAAAGCGTCTTTCCAAATTTGATTTCTCTCCAATTTTTCTTGACATATAAGACAGGTTAGAATGACATTTGAGTTTTGTATAAACACGAACAAATCAGTCCATTCACGGTTTCCATCATCCATCATAAATTCATGATTTTCATCTTCCCCCCCCCTTTTGGCTTTTTCTTTGCAGCCATATCAAATTGGTGAGACCTAAAAACATGCTTCATTTTATAACAATAAAGGCAGCAACATATAGTTATATCAAATGATAAATTTATGCATAAAATACCTGTGAGGTCTGCACAGGGATATAGCTAGAGTTTCCAGCACCCGGCGACAGCTGAAGAATTTGCGACCCTTTCTGTGTGCCAAGAATAGGAAACACTTCATTAAAAAATTTCGTAGCATCAATTTGGTGCCCCTTGGAAGCTGTGCCTGGGGATAGATGTCTGCCCTTTGCCCCACCCTAGCTACGCCACTGGATCTGCAGCTGGTTGAAATCTATAAGCAACTTAATATGTGGAGTAGGTACTGTCATTACTCTTGAAACATTTCAGAAACCCTTTTAACCTGTGAGACTTTTCAGCATATCAAGCACTACAGAGAAGCTGTGACTGATGACTGAAAATTAGCATGCACCTTTTTTACCCAAATGGGAAATTCTATCATTTTGATAGAACAATAGGTGTAGAGCTCTATTGACATTTATTATTATTAAATATATCAGATTAAGTTTGGATAAGTTTGGTTCTTTTCCTTCCCCCCCCTTATACACACATGCAAGAAATTAAAAATTATGTAAAAAATGGTAATTTTTAAAATACTGTATTTTTTAATTATAGAAAAGGTATAATTTAGAGGAAGAAATCTGTGCCAAAAAAATTCAGTAATTTAAACAGTTTCTTATAAAGAGCTGTAGTGAACAAAATTTCTTGTAAAAATTGCATCATAAATGTAAATGCATTAAATGTAAAATTTCTGGGTTTCTGAAATGTTTCAAGAGTTGTACATGCATATGCTTAAGAAATAAAAGTAATAGCTATATTAATTATGATTAATCATTAAAGCAGCTCTCATAAAAATACAGAGTTAGTCTAAAAGAAATAGATTACCTATTTAAAATGAAAAGTCTTTATTTTAAGCAGGTAGCATTTAGTATAATTAAAAAAAAAGTTTATAACTTCCTTCTTTTGGGGGGGGTGTTATGTTAGCATCATGTGAATGCTGCTGTAGCTGTTATTTGAATAATGTGGCTGCTAATCTGATCAAAACATTTTATGTGCTTCAGTATGCAAAAACAAATGTAATGTTATAGCATTGTTTTAGTACATGATATGAATGAAAATCTGCCTTGTTGGATTGGTCATTTAACAGACTAATACATGGCTGTGGCATGTTGACCATCAACAAGTTCAGACTTAAGACCATGTGATTACTTGTTATGGAGATGCATCAAAGCCTGCATTTCTTGTTCCATCCTTTCATACGAGTTTGGGCAATTTTAAGCCATGCATCAGAACATCTGCTATGTTTTTAACATGTACTAGGTCATATTTGAGAAGAACATGACTGTTGCATTGATATCTACCATGTTGCAAAAGAATCACACATAGAACATTTGTTACCTAGCCTTATAAACTGTAAGTTATGTTCTTCTAACTGTATAAGTATTTCAGCCATGCCATTAATATTCTTATTTCTGTAAAATTTTGAAAGTATTTATTTCTTTTAGGTTAACCTTGTATTTTCAAATTAATTGTAATTTAATAATTTCAGCAGACTTTAAAATATATCATAAAGACTTTTATATATGTTTTCTATTTCAAGAAAAGTGAACTACTCCCTTCTTAGACATAATTTCTACCATGTTGCGAAAGGATCACACATAGAACATTTGTTACCTAAGAACATTAAACTAAAACAAAGATTCTTATAAATATTAAAAACTTACAAGAAATCTAATTCACCTATTTAATACATTTTTTGAACTCCATTGATAAACTATCAAGTCTTTATGTTTTATACCTCACTGGAAACGTTGCCACCAATGGGCTGCTATCAATAGTTGCATCATTCAAGATGGCAGGCGAATAGGCCACCTTTAATGAAGTTATCTTTCAGTAAACTGAAACACCTGCCGTCTGGTTCTCATATGCAATTAAGCAATGTTGCCTGCTGTCTGGTTTCAATCTCTTTTCACCTGCAGGGAGATATATTGGTAATCAATCACCTTTGTTTTCTTTGGCTGACCAGTATCAACCTTTCTTACAGCTCTACATGTCGTTTGGAAGGCTTTCCAAGGCTTTTATCAACTCCGAACCCTTGGGCGACAGACATCAAACGACACACTTCCCTGAAACTTGCTAGTCATTCTGCAATCTGTTATCATACT